AGTTAAATTTTCTGATCAATTGTTTCTTTGTTATACTGACGATTGCAACAGACCTTACCCTAATGTATATTATTGTATGAGCCTGACGAAAAATTAATCGAAAACAATCGTTCGCTTTAAGCTTCGTGTTTTGTGTATATTTATGAACACTCCATGATTGTCGCATTCCGAACGGGATCCTCGCTTGAAAATTTCTACCATAACCCAGCGGCTCCAGTCTGTTGGGACAGTTTCCTGTTCCCACAGTTTCACTAGAGACTCGTGTAAATCAGGAGAAGATCCCCCGAATTTGATGAGGGCTGGATGGACTTTATTTGCCCCCGCGGCTTTATTCAATTTTAGCAGTATGATCTCACGTTAGACTTTTGGGCGAGAGGACGGATCCAAAGAGACAGCCCACGGAGCAGCGCGATTATTGGCTGGTGGAAAAACCGACAATGACTAGTTTAACTGTTTCTCAAGATGTTCGATCCAACGCTTCAAGCATTTTGAGGAGTTGTGAAATGGCTGTCCCCTCTCGTCATTAATAGTTTCACCAACACCAGGTCTTCTGCTGCCTGTTTCCCATATCAGACGGAATAACTTCCATCTCTGACTCACCATAAAACCACAAGAATTCGCGATCTCTCTTCAGGATAGCACAGAGTTTTGCTCTGTCTTTGCGAGTCTCCTTGTGTTTGCTTCTAGCCGGAATGTGCAGGTGAGCATCGATAAGTTCCGGAGACTGTGTAGAGACCCAATGTCCATGTAGGCAATTTGATTTGCTACATGAAGGCGTGCCTGCTGTTAGTAACGTCTGGCGAATATGTGATCAGGAATCTTCAAAGGTATTCAGTTGGCGCTGACCCAGCTCGGATGCCAGCGTACTTTGACACGCATTCAGAACACCTAGCTTCGCCAGTTGGCTGGTATCTATGTGCGCACAGCGACGTTGTGGACGTCCTCCGAGACGCACCCGATGGTCGGCACTCACAACAACATGATCGGAGTCTACATGGTCCGAGTCTTCGCTCGTGCTCCAAATTGAGCGACAGTTTTGGACGCAGTCTCTCCAGTGGCAACTGATGGCGATGTGATCGGTTTGTGTCCCTGGCTAGTCTAGGGCTGATAGGCACCAAGTCACTCTTCTGCAAGTGCTGTGTCGATAGTTAGTGCCCGCGAGAAATACACGACTATCACACAGGTGTAGTAACCGCTCGCCTTTATCATTACGGGAGCCTACACCATGTTCGCCTCCCTGATGTAGGTCATCATAGGACAGTTTTATGACTCAGGCTTTCAGATCACCAGCAAGCATCACGGTATCTGTGCTTTTTCTGTAACGGAGGAGCGCGTTCATTTGGCGATGTCATCTTTCACCGAATCACTGCTACAGTTTATGGGCACGTATTCCGCAATGACATACAAACCTCGTTTGTCTTCCTGCGATTTCAAAGCCTGTAACGAGCCAGCCAATCTAACGACGGACATCCGGCTGTTGACTGGAATCTTATCGGTCAGGGCAGCTTAGGCTCTGGCACTCGAAACAATGCTTACACCGGCTTGATCAACATTTGAAGCTGCGTCATCTCCAGACAGGCGCAATAAGAATGTGCCGCCAGTGTCGCATCTAGGGGATCGCAAGGTAGGCACGAAGCTCCGATCCTGCAGGAGGGTTTCCGATAAGCAGCAAATATCGATTGATAGGGTCTAGTGTTCGGACAAGTGCTGCCTGTTCGCGAATCTGTAACAAAGTGTGCACGTTGTGGCATGCGTTTTAGCGAGGATCAACGACTCCAAAGAGATACGGATGAGCTACCTTTTTCCGCTTGGTGGAACATGGACTTGTCGACTGGACAAGAGCGGCACCCTGCGATTGCATGTGATTTGAAACTAGAAGGCAAGTGACCATTGAAGCAAGTCGGGGCAGAGTCAAGAATTGGGGGGTTGGGAACAGGGGGGGATAAAAGTGAATTTGAAGCGGGACGCTAAGAATGAAAAAGCGCGAGCATGGGAATAAGACGATGCTCGATGCAGCCCACAGAGCGTCGTTTATTATCCTCTGTGACGGCCAGAGCATCAAGAGATTGTAAGGAGAAAAGGTCATGGTGTATTGCATGGACAGGATACTGTCAGGTTGCCCAGACCTAGACAGAAGAACGATTAGGCTTCTCAAGCAAAGCCTTTGATCCAAAAACCTGACCGCGATGCAACGTGGTTTTGGCACTTGGCTACAGAAAGTCCGTTTGATGGAGTAAGGATCCACCCTAACTCGAGCACCCAACCTGGTGGGCCAGGGGACTGAGTTTGTCTGGCCTCTAACCATCGACCAATCTGGTATGAGGGGCTCTGAAGGTGCACAAAGCACCATCCAGTATAGCTCAGTGGATCATTGAGGCACACAAACCATCGCACTACGTTAAGGTCCAGTCTCGTCGAGAAGATAATGTGTTTACCCGTGATTTGTCCTTAAGACGCTTGGTTGTCTTGTGCTTGAACTACGCTACACCTATTTAGTGGGTACCACCACCGGCTCAAAAGTGTTTCCACGGGATCTCCCCCCATTCCATTGTTGGCAGGATTTTTCATGACAGTTGAAAAACAACAGTATGTGACAAAGTTACCGGTCCTTAAATTTTTTCACCGCCACATGGTCGACATTCTTACTCATGCATACTTTGACCGTGTCTACGCAGTGCTCCAGGCTACATATGAAAAGCAACCATCTACCGGCTGTAGTTCCACGATGTCTTGTTAACTTGTAATTGGGATGCTTTCATCCACCCGCAACTATTCAGAGGGGAAACGGTGGAGTGATCGGCATACAGGCTTTCGACTTCCTTCCGCGAATTTTTAAGGGTACTTGATTCACTATCTCACCCCGCGTGCGCGCAGGACTTGCTCAATATACACTAATGTGGAGTTCTCTCATTTAGAACGTATTCGGAAATAGTACTCCGATATATTGTGTGTGGCTTTCGAGTACAACCAAATCCCGTCCCATTATTATAAGCGGAGAAGAAAGAACTATTTATAACATTACGCTGCAGATGGCACGCAGTAGTTGAGCGTTTAACTAGAACTCTTCCAGCTGCAAATATCTCGCCTTTACCATTATGCGCCCCTAAAGTGTAATTTTTCAACAGAATCGTTTGCTTATCCACTGTGCAAAAACACATAACTGATACTGACTCACACTGACTCACTTCTAATGCTTCCGTGACGCAGCATATGTCGGGTGAACGGAGCGACATGCATCGATGCATCGCATAGGCTGATCATGTGAAGCTACCGCTGCAGATATTACCGCTACCGTTTTTGCCCACATCGCCGTCACCGGGCAGTTAGTGAACCCAAACCATACAGTTCGAATAATGTACATGGTCTTTGCACTTCGATCAAAGCACCTGTTCCTCTCCGAACCTGCGATATCTGATGCAGTTTGTATTCCGTTGTTTCAACCATCTGTGTTTTCTGAAGTAAACTGATCGATGTCATACGACTACCTTAATAAGCGAAACGCGGGATGCTGAGGCTGAGTGGGTTGGTCCACCGCGGTAATGCCTTTATCAATATGCCGAGGCGTTGCTTGCTTCTTGGTCCTTCCTCTTGATCAGTTCGTGAGTTCATTCGAACTGCTACGATCAATTTATTTTTCTCTTATTACAAGTTTCGTTGTATGGTTCTAGGGGTCTGACAATTATTCCTAGTGACTAATCGTTGAAACGTTATATTCGGTTTCCTATCCCCTATCCGGTGGTATACACTGGTGCTTTGAGAGCTGCACCTGCCAAACTGGTGAATGTTTAGGCGTGGGGCGAATTTATAATTTGGTGCTTAGACCTAAGCAGTATCCATTTTGAATACCCTGATCGTTGCCATTTTTTCGTTGCCCCACGGATAGACGTTTGAATCTAATCCCTTCTGCTTACATCAAGACGACAAAACACTGAGGCTGCTGTTACCCTTCTTTCTTATCCACTTGTTTCTCTTAAAATCCTCTTAATCCGTCGAGTGTGATCTTCCTTACTTGAGGAGCATTGCTGCTATTGGATTGCACCAATGTATCTGCAACATTAATCTGCACAGGTGACTGTCAGTTGATGATAGTCGGTTTACTGTTGTCAGCTAAATAGCGCTAATTGTTTACGCTCATTAACACCAGCGAGAACACAGTTGAAATGTGGTGCCTTCTGCAACTTGCTACGATATGTCTGTGTATTACGCAGTTTGTGGAATATCAGGTTTGGCCGACTTGGTCTATGGTCGGTACTCATTGGCTTACTCCACATGACCAGATGGGGCAGCCATCGATAGAAGGGAAATGGCTAATTTCGGCAATATATGCTGATCCTCAAAGTTTGATCGAGTACTGTATGTTTTTGACCCGACTTTCCAACTGGTTGTTGCGTGCCCATAGTCCTTACCTAATCCGGCTGACGTTGATCTCCCAATACTTGTTTTTGCCGTCATCAGATGCGTCATGATGAAAGTACTCTGAGTTTAGAAAGGTTTACATTGTAACAATACAATGTATTCTGTTTGTCAGAATAAGTAATCAGGCTCAAGTAGTCCTTACACTTTCCAGTGTAAACTTGGAATAGATTAATCCCTCATGAACAAGTAATTAATGGACGGTTACTCATCATCAACTATACAAACGCGAAAGTGAATTTGGAAACAAGAGGTCTGGGTGATATTAAGAGTTGTCTTACCCAATTATCTCGTGGTTTTGGATCTTAGGTGGTATCTAATTAATTCACCAACATGAAAATTACCAAGATTGAACCTAACGAAATCATTGTTAGTCCACTAATTGTCGTATACATAGCATAAGCCTAGCACCCGGTGTGCTACACATGTAAATCCCTTAATTAACGCTTTTTATTCAAATTCAGTTTTTGTCCATGAAGTTAATTGCAGTTATTGTTTTGCTTTGCTTTTGCCTTTCCCTATTTCCCCTTACTTTCACCACGTCGTCACTCGGTCCTGTGACTGCTCATTCGTCACTTGCTGTCCAGGGCGGTCTGATCTCTATCTGTGAGGATGACATCGCTCATTTATGGAGCATACGACAAAGAAGTCCTGAACTGGTCCATTCTCTGCAGTTCAAACGTGAACGGTAGGTTACTTCTGATTTCGTTTCCCTTTCAGCGACACTCAGTAGCCACACTGCCTGTTTCAGGGCTTCCGTTTCATGTTATTTTAGGTAGCATATATTGCATTCGGACATGGTGTTTTCCAGATGGTGGTCTGATTAACTGCTTCTTGAATCCTTTTCAAAGCGGCTCTAGTGCGTTTTCCAGTTAGCTAATTGATGTATGTTACTTGACATGTCAACAGCTCGTTGGGTTACAAGCTATACTGTGAGTTGCATAGCAGCATTTACCAACTGCGGCACTATGCTGTCAGGCACCTAGTGGATGCGATGCTTTGCTCAAATACATAGGACTATATCGGTCCGATGTGCGTGCGTCATTTCGACTGACACCGCTGTTTCCTGCTTTCCATTACCCCACTCAATTCAATCATTCGTCAAGCTCACCGCATAGAAACCCGGTTCCTCTGGGCTAGTTGTTTCACCCGAGTGCATTTTGTATCAACTTTAATTCGAATTTGAACCCTATTCCATTTTACCGTTTTGCTAATCTGTATCTTCTATTGACTTCCAAAGGCATGTCTAACATTAGTATTTTTAAACACAACCCTTTACAACCCATTCTAGTCACTCTGTCTCTGATAGCTTTTGAATCTTCTGGTGCATTGAGAGGTTGTGGTTTTGTTTTTTTGTCCTGGTCATTAGCTTATAACCATGTGGTAGGGTCATGATTTATCATCAATCTGCGATTGTCCTACTATCCTGTGTTCCGGCTTCCTTTCTGTTGTTTCTGGATTCATTTGCCTTGGTGGATTGGTTTGTAGACTCACAATGTGACAGATGAAGCTGCTTTAAGTTGTGTGGCCTGATACTTCATGATTTAATTCGCATCACTAGTATACATTAATTCTACCTGATTCCCTGCATTTGACTGAAATGTACTAATCGCTCACACAGGAAATCCGCTTTTAGTTTCTGCAACGTATGTAAATCCCAAAAATCTTTAAACCAATCGTATCGTGGAGTATAAAAATAATAGTGCTGCTATGTTGTCTCGCCGTACCTGTAAGTTTTAGCAACCCGTGCTTATTTGGGCAGTTTTCATTGCATGGGGCGTACGCTGGTCTACACCTAGAAGTTGTGGTCGTAGGGAATTTCGATTAGAAAATCGGATGAGGTTAAACATCATCAGCTTCCTACTTCTGACAGCGGAATAGTGTGCTCAGCTGTGTGAAAGCACACTTAACCTGTCACACTGGGTGGTCTGGCTGTGGTTTATGAGCAAGTTCTGATAGAACGTCTCGTTTTAGAAAACACACCAGCAGACGTTTTGCATGGAAAGAAGTTCAAGGTCTTCTGTCATCTTTCATGCTAGTGTGCGTGGCCGGAAACCACTAGAAACAAAATCTTGATTTTTGCACTTTAGGTAGCTCTCGTTTAGTTCTTACAATTTCTACCACATTTCGCGCGATCCATTGTAAAGTGCTTTTTAAATCTATGAGTGTACCTTCATGTGCATTTGGATTTAGGTCAGCGTTCTTGCACTGGCGTGCACTATGTAGGCTGCGCTCCTCTGTCGAGCACTGCAATTGGTTTTATCTTGTTCTTCATAACGACCGAGCGTCTCCTGTATCCGGCATGGTGATACAGCGTTCTCACAGTCAGCTGTACGCCTGGACTCCTTCAAAACTTTTAAAAGGGTCTTTGTAGGCTATCCCACTCTACTACAGCCCCTATTGTGCCTGCCTGCGTATATGGTTGGCGGCATCCGGTTTCGGATTTGCCTGTCACTGTGGCAAGCCACAGGACGCCTGCGCCTACAGAGGGACCATGGATGGCTTGCGCTGCACCACCCACAGCTCCAACCGCACACCCCATATCCAGTGTAAACCCGAAGGAATAAGACCGGGAGGCATGCGGATGGGAGCCACGTTTCATCAACGGAGCCGGCCCACACTCTTTCACAGGCAAACACAAGCACACTGTATTTGGGAATCAAGCGCACACGAGGCGGTGGCTGGACCGTAGTCCGCTCCACACTGAGTGCATGGAACCACTCTTCGAGCCTAACACGGCCACAAGGACCGTGCACCCCGTCCCCTCCAGCAACGACCAACTGTCTCCTGGAGCCAGTATGGACGAGGTAGTGGGTAATAGACAGGTAGGCACCTTGTCAACATGCACATCAAGCGCAGCCACCCCGGGCATATCAAACAGCAGCCAAACACTTGAGAGAGAGAGAGAGAGAGAGAAAGAAAAAGAGAAAAACTCGATTAATGCATAAGGAAACGGTGACATAAACCTTAATTAAATAGCATACGTAATAAGTTGTTTACAAACAAATCCTAGCTAAGTGCACGAGGTCAGGAAGTATAGTTCACGGAATGCCACGAACACAAAAATGTTATGGAAATCGAATACAATTGGCTGAAGCGATGTGTGCAAGTTAATGGAATAGAGTACAGGGAGATATTTATATGAGAAAGAAATGCATTAAGGTAAAAACTGTAAACCCACCACCTGAAATAAAGAGACTTAGCATGCAAGCACGCGGTTAGTAAATCGAATTCAGCGTGCCTACAAACGCTGCGTCGGTGCTGCCTACGTTCACTGCGGGACCCGTCGGCGCTTCGGCAGTGGTCCCGAGTGACCTCTCTCATGGCTCACTAGGCCTGCCTGACTAAGGCACTCGCGACCGCATGTTCTACAGCACAATGCGCTCGATGTCGATGGAGTACAATCCATCGGTGCTTGCCGCTTCCGCAACTGCCGCTTCTTCTCTGCATGCATGTGTGCTTTCTCCCGCACTTCAGCAACTGCCTTCGTGATTAGATCGCGCCATGCACCACGATCAACCGCCTTCGATTCCCATGATCTGCAATCAAGATTAGAACGTGTGAGGCTCACTTTAACCATGTCCTGGTAACGTAACTTTGGTTTCCCAGCATGCCGCTTCCCAGTACTCAGCTGACCGTATAAAAGTTGTTTCGGTATTCGCGTCGAATCCATACGGCTCACATGACCTAGCCATCTCAGGTGTCGCAGTAAAAGTATGCCGTCCACTGCATACATCCCACTTCGGCGCACCACTTCCGTGTCTGCAACTCTGGCGCCCCAGCCGATCCGCAAAATTCGTCGCAGACACTGCTGATGGAACCGCTTGAGATATCGCACATCCCGACGGTACATCGTCCACGTTTCACTGCCGTATAGAAGAACGGACAGTACCATGGATTTGTACACCATCAGCTTCGTGCCAATGGTAAGCTGATGGTTGTTCCACACTCGGTACTCAAGCTTCCCGAATGCCGCTGCCGCCTTCGACACGCGATTACGCAACTCAACGTGTAGCTGCTGATCAGTCGACATCACACTCCCAAGGTAGCTGAAGCGGGAGGTTGTTTCCAATACTTCAGCACCAATGCTGATTCGCGGCAATATTGAAGATTGCACCTGCGGTGAAGACTGAAAGAGACAGACAGTTTTGCTTGTGTTGATGGTGAGCCGGAATTTGGCCGCCGTCGAAGCCAGAGCACTAGTCATGGGCTGCAACTCCTCCGCGCTGTGTGAAAACAACGCACAGTCGTCAGCAAACACCAACATACGGATAGTTGTCTCACAGACTAGAGTTCTCGCACCGAAACGACGGATGTTCAGCAACCCACCATCAATACGGTGCTCCACACGAACACCGTAAGCACAAGCCGCATCAAAAGCACAAGACAACATTGCATGAAGATAGATATTAAACAGGGCAGGAGCTAACACACAGCCTTGCTTCACACCAGAGACAACTGTAAAGTCATCCGAGGTCTCTCCACTCAGCTGCACCCTCGCTCGCATACTACTGTGCAGACATTCAATTAAACTTACAAACTTACGCGGGCAACCAAACTCACCCAACACCAGCCACAGTGCCTCGCGGTTCACCGTATCAAATGCTTTGGTGAAATCAACAAAAAGCGAGTACAATAGCTGGTGTCGTTCTCTGCACTTCTCTTGCAACTGACGAGCCGCAAACACCATATCTATAATGCTGCGACCCGAACGGAATCCACACTGCTCTTCCGCCACGTTAGGTTCCACAACCTGACTGACGAGGCGATTGAGCAGGACTCGGGCAATAACCTTGCCCACACAACTCAGCAAGTTGATGCCATGATAATTCGTGCAACATTGCTTGCTACCTTTACCCTTGTGCAGTGGTAGCACAAGGGCATCCTTCAGCTCAGCAAGCACCTCCTCCTCAATCCACACGCGTTGCACCAAGTGATGCAGCGCAGTCAACAACGCGGGTCCACCGTGTTTCAATACTTCAGGCGGGATCCCGTCGGCTCCGGCACATTTGCCGTTTCGCAGCTGAGCAAGTGCTCTCTGCGTCTCATCCAGTCTCGGCGTATCCGCCAGATTCGCCTTCACATCGTGCTACTTCAGGCCGTTCAATGTAGGTCAGGCGATCTCTGAACGGTTGTTCAATAGACAGTCAAATTTTTTCTGCCAGATCTGCATTATGTCTACAGTCTGTGTGCAGGTAGCGCCTGAACTACCATCGATCAGTGTCCTCAGCGGCTCCATCCTCGGTCCATAAACCGCCTTCAAAGAGTCAAAGAATTTCTTGTGTTGGCGGCGTTCGGCGTGGCATTCCAACTGCTTCGCCTTCTCCGTCCACCATGCATTTTTAATGCGACGGAGCTCTCGGGTCAGTCGCCGTCGAAGTTTGCGAAACTGACTACTCTTCCGCAAGTCACTGGGGTCTGCAACATGTGCAGCAAATGCTGCATTCTTCTCTGACACCAATGCGTCAATCGTCACATTGTTGTCATCAAACCAATCAGGCCGCTTACAGTTTGCGCGCCCGATGGTCTCCTCGGCAGCAGCTGTCACCTGGTCGCGAATGTGGTGCCACAGGTCGCCCATTGTGGCTATACAGTCCACATCACCACACAGGCGGGCAGCCATCGCCTTCTCCAGCTCAGTACGTTTCGCCACAGTGCCGAGAGAATGTTAAATTTACGCCGACTCAC